CTTGCCTTGAAAGGAGCTCTCTGTCTGGTGGGGATTCCACAATGCAAGGGCTGCTAGGACCTGCAGGGCACAAGGAAGGGTTGGTTGGGTGAGGCTGTGTGTAGGCATACTTTAAAATATCTGCACCTGGTAGATATTGCTCGTGTGTGTGTGTGTGTGTGTGTGTGTGTGTGTGTGTGTGTGTGTGTGTGTAACGGTATTCTGGCTGGTTGGCTAATGTATACAGTGTGGGTCTAACTTGTTTGTGTGCCAAGGAGGGAGTGCATGTCTTTGTGTGCGGGTATGTGAGAGTCGGGTAGGGGCGTTGTCTGCTGTGGGGGAGGAAGTGGAGTTGGAGGGATTAGTCATTCTGCAGGATTTTTGCCTAGCACGGCCAGATGGCTGCTTCTGACATTCCTTTTTGTGCCGAGTGGAGGGGCAGCTGCTTAATTTTGCCCTTTCCTGAGGTAGATGGCGCAGGGGGAGTTGCATGGGTATCTGTGTCAGCCCTGTGCAACCAGGGACCAGGGAGAGTCCTGGGTTGTTGCAGGAGCTGAAGCAGATGGGATTGAAGGGGATGTGTGCATGCTCTCATACTCACAAATGGCTGCCACTGGAGGGCTCTGAGATCTGGTACTGATCAGCCCTCGGTGGCTAGTGATCCTGGTCTCCTCCAATCAGGGCCTTGCATGTGGGATGCCGTCTTCCCAAACAGCCTTGGAAGTTTTCTTATCTAGGTTTCAGAGCAGCTGGGGCCTGAGGCTGGAATGGGCTTGGCTGTGTTATCCGTGTTCTACGCTCCTACAGCCGTAGCTCAAGATAGCTGCCCGGATTAGTTGCTGCCGGTGAACCAACCACACACATGTAAATCCTCACCATGTAAAATCTGCACCAGGCCGGAGCATGAGGAAAGCTATATATACTCCTGGTTCTGGTCTTCCCTCCCCCTCCTCTGTAGCTATGAGTCCCTGGCTAAAACACTCCTTGGGAAACAACTCCTCCCCCACCCGCACCTATCTGGAGTCACCTTGAGCTCTTGCAAGGACTGGTCACCGTTTCTGGAAGCAGGGCGGAGGCACCAAAGTTTACGCCGAGTGAAGTCCTTGGCGCTGATCCTTGTTCTTGTCACCTTGCAGAAGATGGGTGACTTGCCCTTAGATATCAACATCCAGGAACCTCGATGGGACCAGAGCACATTCCTAGGCAGAGCCAGGCACTTCTTCACCGTTACTGACCCTCGAAATCTGCTGCTGTCCGGGGACCAGCTGGAAGCTTCCCGCAACATTGTGCAGAATTACAGGTGAGCCCGCCTCACACCAGATGACAGTGACACAGCACTTTAGCCCAAAGGATTTTAGGACATTTGGGTTGAGGAGACAGCGTTGGATTATGGGTAGGCAGCCTCTCTGCAGTTCACAGGTCCCCTTTAATGACAGAGGGGCCCGAAGGAGAGTCCCAAGCAGACAGACAGGCAATGACCCTCTTCTCTGGAGGTTTAACTCTGGCAACGTCCCCAGTTATTTCAGAAAATGTGGGACCACAAAAGATGTAGAAAGAGCAAAGTACACATATGAGAGGCGTTTGGCCTCCTCTGAGGACAAGGAGCTCCTTTACTCTGGGGTTGAGTGTCAAAGTTCCTGGTCCATTGCCCAGAGTTCCCCGAGGCAAGTAGCAGAGACAGGAAGGGCAGGTCTGACCCCTACAGCAGCCTGCTGGTTCCTTGCCAATTTCTACAGGGCTGGTGTGGCAATCCCGGGGCTCACTGAGGACCAGCTGTGGAGAGCCAAGTATGTGTACGACTCTGCATTCCATCCAGACACAGGGGAGAAGGTGGTCTTGATTGGCCGCATGTCTGCCCAGGTGCCCATGAACATGACCATTACTGGGTGCATGCTCACCTTCTACAGGTAAGTCTCATCCCATGTCCCTGTCCTGAGTGTTGTGTCCCAGAACACAGCTGGGTGACTAGAAGTCACTTTCTGCACGCTTTTGAGTAAAGAACAATGTGTGTGTGTGTGTGTGTGTGTGTGTGTGTGTGTGTGTGTGTGTGTGTGTGTAAGAATTCTTTCCATTTCTCAGAACCTCGTCTCCTTTTGTGTAAGGTGTACCTGTGAGGGTGACAAGGGCAAGTTCTGGGACCATCAGTTAAGTCCCTCTTGAGGACTTAAGGAACTCTGAGGGTTTCAATGTTAGGTTTTGGGGGCTGGAGAGATGGCTCAGTGGTTAAGATCACTGGCAGGTTGTTCAGAGTACCTGGGTTCAAATCCCAGCACTCACATGGCAGCTCACAACTTTCTGTAACTCAAGTTCCAATGGGTCAGACTTCCTCACGCACACATGTGGGTTAAACACCAGTGTACATAAGGAGGCAGAGCCAGGCGGATCTCTGTGAGTTCGAGGCCAGCCTGGTCTATAGAGTGAGTTCCAGGAAAGGCGCAAAGCTACACAGAGAAACCCTGTCTCAAAAAAGCCATAAAAAAAAGTAAAAACATAATTCAATATTGGGGGTTCAAGGATTGGGGATACTGTGGAGGGACAGATATAAGTAGTCTATCTTCGCACCCCAGGAAGACTCCGACTGTGGTGTTCTGGCAGTGGGTGAACCAGTCCTTCAACGCTATTGTGAATTATTCCAATCGCAGTGGGGACGCTCCTATCACCGTGCGGTAAGAATCCCCCTTCCCAGCTGTTCCTGGTCTTGCGGACCCCTGTGCCAGGGCTCAGATCTCCTTTCAGCTACATGTTTGACTGACTACTACCACCTGAGGGTGCTCAGTCCGTTTGTATCTGCTTTGGAGGACCCACTCTAGATGGCTCAGTGGTTAAGAGCGCTGGCTGCTCTTCCAGAGGTCCTGAGTTCAATTCCCAGCAACCACATGGCTCACAACCATCTATAGTGGGATCTGATGCCCTCTTCTGGCCTGCAGATGTACATGCAAGTAGAGCACTCCTACGCATAAATAAGTAAATCTTTTTTTTTTTTTTTTAAAAAAAAGGAGGACTTTAATATAAGTTTACTCTGGAGTAGGGCCGGGGCTTTCAATGAGGCTACCCTCTGACACCCCCTGCATTGGAAACACGTAATGTCCTTAAAGGAAATGCATGCTGGGCTCGTCATCTCCCCCTGTGATCTGGCCTTTTCCTCCACAGGCAGTTGGGAACAGCCTACGTGAGTGCCACCACTGGAGCTGTGGCCACCGCTCTGGGACTCAAATCTCTCACCAAGGTAAAGTCTCCTTACCACTCCTGGCCTCTTGTTAATCCTTTACCCATTTTCTTCCTTGTCACCCTCTCAAGAAGCTCCCCGCCTGAACTCCCCGCTGTGGCCCTCAGAGCCCTTGAACACCGCCTTTCCTCCCCCAGCACCTGCCCCCACTGGTCGGCCGATTTGTACCTTTTGCAGCTGTGGCCGCTGCCAACTGCATCAACATCCCCCTGATGAGGCAGAGGTGAGTGGTCCGGGCTCCTGGCACAGGGATGTCCAGCCACCCTCCACCTCTGCAGACCAGCCGGGTACAGGGCGAGTCCTCTCCATCGCTGATGCCAGCTGCTGGGCCCTGCCTTATACTGACCCGGGTTCCAGGACAACCAGGTCCCACTGTGTGAGAACTTGCCCCGAGGTGTGGCAAGACTGACGGGTGCAGGCAGATCCCACAGAGGGCGCTTCACTGGGAACCTGCTGATAGGGGCGAGGGGCTGGGCAGCAGCAGGACGAGATCCTCACGACTTGGGTGAGAAAGAGTGGTTGGTATATGATAGCCAGGATGAAGGTGAATTCCAATAAGCAAAAGTGTGCTCTGGTGTGTCTTGTACCACCATCAAGAAAATCACATTTCTGGTAGTGGTGGCACCAGAGTCTTGATCACAAAGCCCCATTTATTTATTTATTTATTTTGAGATAGGGTTTCTCTATGCAGTTCTGGAATTCACAATGTAGACCAGGCTGGCCTTGAACTCACAGAGATCTGCCTGCCTTTGCCTTCTGAGTGCTGGGATTAAATGCTTGGCTCAAATAATATTCTAAATAATTTTGTTTGTTTATATTAATCTGGAATGCTCTGAGGAGAAAACTCACCTGGGCTACTCGGGCATTTAAGGTAGTTATGACTCGAGATAGCTGTCCCTGTCATGCTGGGTCCCAACACTCTGGAAATCACCCTATACCCAGGTTCCTCTCCAGACTCATCTTCTTCATCCCACACCGAGTGACCAACCTCCTCATGCTCCCTGGCTGGGAAGGGCTAACACAGCACCTGTCTGCTTTTCTCTGGCTCCACCCTACACCTGGGGGCTGTTCAGAACCGGCCTTTGAGTGGGGAAGGTGAGGGCCCCCCAGAGATCTGCTGCCTAGAATCTGACCCAAGCCTCTTTCTCTTCTTAGGGAGCTGCAGGTGGGCATCCCGGTGACCGATGAGGCGGGTCAGAGGCTTGGCCACTCCGTGACTGCTGCCAAACAGGGAATCTTCCAGGTGGTGATATCAAGAATCGGCATGGCGATTCCTGCCATGGGTGAGGCGGGGCTGGCTGGTGGAGCTCGGGAGGCTGGGAGAGAAGATGGGATGAGGTTCTCAGGGGCTTTTGACAACTCAGAGCCAGCAAGTCTGGGAAGAATGGGAGAAGCAAGGAGGGGGGTCTTCCCTCAGGTTCCTGAAGTTCACTCCATTAACTTTCTCACTGCCCTGCTCTCCCCCAGCCATTCCCCCAGTGATCATGAACACCCTGGAGAAGAAAGCCTTCCTGAAGGTAAGGACCCCACCTCTTACCTGTTCTGGCCAGAGGTTTCTGACATACGGAGGGACGACTGTCAATGCATGATTGATTGCATATTCATGCATGCCACTGACTGTGTCTCCCACTAAGAGGCACACATACATGGGTGATGTTTTGTTTGTGTTCTGACAAATAAAGCTTGCTTGGAGTCAGAGGGTGGAGCTAGCCACTAGTTAACCATAGAGGTTTGGAGGACTGTAGAGAGAGGGGCAGGAAGTGGCAAGGCCGGGCTGAGACAGGATCTCAGCCCTTTAGGACTAGAGGAATGGAAGAGGAAGGAAGCAACTGTGTCTGCTGCCTTGCATCTCTGATCTTTCAGGTTGTACCTCGATATCTAACTCCTGGTTTTTATTGATAAGATTAACTAGATTTATGCTTCACATACATACTCATGAGTACACAGACAAGATAAGGAATACAGGGTCCAGCTCATCCACCAATCATTTATTCACAAACGTTGTTAAGTACCGACTGTACACCAGACACATTAAACAGAACAAAGATGGTTGGAGACCCTGTCCCCATGAGGCAGTCTAGTACAGAAACCAACAAACAAAGGAACAAGCAATAGGGCTGGACATGGTGGCGCACGCCTTTAATCATAGTACTCTGGAAGCAGAGGCAGGAGGATCTCTGTGAGTTTGAGGCCAGCTTGGTCTACATAGCGAGTTCCAGACCAGCCAGAGCTACCCAGTGAGACCTTGTCTCAAAAAACAAAACATCAGCCGGGCGGTGGTGGCGCACGCCTTTAAATCCCAGCACTCGGGAGGCAGAGCCAGGTGGATCTCTGTGAGTTCGAGGCCAGCCTGGGCTACCAAGTGAGTTCCAGGAAAGGTACAGAGCTACACAGCGAAACCCTGTCTCGAAAAAAAAAAAACCAACCAACCAATCAAACAAACAAAAAACCCACCAACAAAACAGAAAACCCATACACATATCATTGTAGTTATGAAATATGCTTTGTAGGAAGCCAGTGGGGCCTTATACTTGGGACTATCTGGGGAACAGTTTAGGCAAGGATAGGCCTTGGAAGATCCAAAGAACAAGGAGAGCCTGGCAAAGAGCGTTTCAGGGAGAGGGAACAGCTTGTGTCAAGGCCCTGAGGCAGGGATGGGCTGACACATTTGAAGACCAGAACAATGTTTGCTGTGGCTGAAGTGGATGGAGGAAGGTATGGAGAGGGACATATTTATGCCCCTGGGGATGACTGGAAGTGAGTGGAGACTCAGGGGAGGCTTCCTGAAGAAAGTGTAATAAAAGAAAGACAGGGTTAGAGAGTGCCGTGGGAACCAATTCTGAGAGGCGAGAACGTACGATAGGATAGGCAGCAGGTCTGGCTGGGGCCGGGGGTTGCCATGTGCAGGTCCCAGCCTGTCGTGGCTGGGAGAAACACCCAGATGTCCAAGGGCTCAGAGGTAGGGTTGACGGGTTAGAACCACGAGGGGAAAGCTAGATAGAGGAGGAAAATGGGGACACAAGCATTCTGTTGTCTCTCTGTTTCCCCACAGAGCCGGCCCTGGTTGGGGGCGCCCCTGCAGGTGGGGCTGGTAGGCTTCTGGTAAGTGTGCCAAACGTGCATGGGAGAGCCTTTATCATTGTGGGCATGAGAGGGCACTTATTACTTTTGAGGTGCTTACATAACATTGCTCAGTCATACATCCAGTTGGTATGGATACCCATACGTGTGTGTGTGTGTGTGTGTGTGTGTGTGTGTGTGTGTGTGTGTGTGTGTGTATGTGTGTAGAGTTCTAGGGGTTCTTGCCTTTGAAGGGCAATAGTTTGGTTGAAGAGGTCAGTCTTTATTCACCAGAGGAAACCATGCAAATAAACTCTGGCACAATCCAGGAGGCCCGGCCCATTTTATTCCTGATTCTGGCACTTTCTGATCATAGGGCTTGGGATCAATGCTCTTGAGGCTCTTTCCTTGTCCAGAATCTAATATCAGGACTGAGTTTAGTATCCCTGAGTGGTCCCTTGGCTCCATTTTCCACCTTTTACAGCTGGGATAAAGCTCACAAAAATGTCTTCACTCCGGGGGCTATTTCCATGAAGTGGGGTACAGGGAGGGGATGCTCAGGCCAGCTTCACAGACGTTTCCGATGCTCTTCTTCCCTAGCCTGGTATTTGCCACACCCCTGTGCTGTGCCCTGTTCCCCCAGAGAAGGTGAGTAATGTCCTTGGCCTAGACCAGAATCTCTACACAGGACTCCACATCTCAGGCCCTTAGTGTGTTCCTGGGAGGCCTGGTGATGTGCGAGCTGGAGGGATGACAGCGAGCCAGCCCTTCTGAAAGCATGGGAGGATTCTTCACCCGGAGTGAGGGGAAGCTGGGCCCTGGGTCTGAGATGCTGAGCCCAGGGTGTATCCATCTAGCCTGTGCTGTTCTATTGCAGCTCCATACATGTGACCAGGCTGGAGCCGGAGCTGCGAGCTCAGATCCAAGCACAGAACCCCAGCATCGATGTGGTTTACTACAACAAGGGACTTTGAGGGGAGTCAGCCTCCGCCCCTCTCCTTACCTCCTTAGGCTGCTTCCTGGGTGCCACCTTACAATGCTATCACTTGTTTATCTTCCGGGTCAGGGGACTTGAGGTGGGGAGCAGCCACTGAGACCAGCAACCCCTCAGCCTGGGGGAGGCAGCCCTATAATAAGCCTCTTCTCTCCTCTCTGGTTTCAAAGAGTGAGTCACAAAACCCATCCCTCCCGTGCTTATGTGTGCAGACATACATGTGCAGCACATGTAAGTGTTTGTACATTTGGTCCTGGAAGCTAAGGGCAGATAGCCTCTTCTAGGATGTCTTAATATTTGGCTTCCCCCTTCGTCTCCTGCCCACCTAGCAGCAAGCCAGGTCATAGGGGACACTTCCTTCCCTAAACTGTTCCTCTGCCCAAGACATTTCAGATAGCACCTTACCCTTCTGGATACAGGAGAAGCCCCAGGATCCCACAACACGGACTGAGGGCCACCAGCAAGCCAATTATAGCTTACTCCTTCAGGTTTCAAGCAGCTGGCTCCAAAACCTGGCTTAGGATCTGGGCTGGCAGAGAAAGCGGTGTTGGGATTAGGGAGTCGGGAGCTGTGCCTGCTGTGCCCGTGTCCTAGAAGGTTCCATTCTTCTCTTCTCGTGGAACAAAGGGATGTCAGTAGCCTGTATTGCCCTCCACACTGCAACGTGAGTGCTTTTAGGGATAGTTTTAGGCATTCTTGGTCTATTCTGATGTCATGACTCGGATAGAAATCCAGCAACTCCGATTCTTTTCTGATCAGAGAGCCACACAGGCAGAGCGGGTGTCCCCCTCCACACACGCCACCACCTGGGCCCACTTACAGGGGAACTGGTGTGGGATGGTGCTTAACACAGGCCTCAAGCGTTCAATCTCGAGACAGGTGATTCTGTGTTTCATTGACCCCTCTTACACAGTCACCACGCCCCACCTCAGCTCCTTCCTTTCCACATAGCCCGTCTCTGGAAGAACATAATGCTACGCAAGTGCTCTACCACTGAGCTACATCCCCGCCCCCTCTTTCTTTTCTTCCTTTTTTTGTTTTTTTTTGTTTTGTTTTGTTTTTCAAGACAGGGTTTCTCTGTGTAGCCCCGGCTGTCCTGGAACTCACTCTGTAGACCAGGCTGGCCTTGAACTCAGAGATGCACCTGCCTCTGCCTCCCAAGTGCTGGGATTCAGAGTGTGTGCCACCATGGCCAGCAGCCCACCTTTCTTGACAATGGCCCTGTCCTCCCTTTGCCCTTAATTTGAAGAAGCGGAGGGACCCAGACCTCAATAGACGGACCAAATGGAAGATGGGATTAGGGATGGCGTGGGTGGTGGTGACTTTAGGGTGTAGAATTAGATCGCCACTCTGAATCCATGACCTCTAGCTGAAAAGGTGAATGGGGTGGGTCGAAAGGTCCCAGTGAGGTCCACTGAGACCAGTTCCTGCTTTTACTAACCACCGCCTCTGTGGTCCACTGAGACCACAGCTGTCATGTCATGGTGTCAATAAACTGCAATCCTGCCTAGTTTTTGATCTTTACTTGTCCCATATCCCGAGTGTCTAGGTAAGTGTCCAGGAGATTCTCCTACCTTCAGCTTCCTTTCCTTCCTCCAAACCCTTCTCTGTAGGGAGTCTCATCTCCCAGCAGAGGGCTCTCTGAGCTTACAAAATGGGTCCTCTGGCTAGCACCTAGTCCCTTGAAGATGGAAATGTGTCTTACTTCTTTCTTCTCTGAGAGGGTTGCACACATAGTTATTAATTCAAGCTCTTGGCTTCTTAGTTTCTTTGAGGAATTTGGCATGGGATGGTGACCTCTGGTCTCTAGGAAAACTCCAGAGACAGGAGAGGAGGCCAACAATTGCCTGCTCCACCCAAGTGCAGCTTCCAGGGGACCAGCACATCTCTGTACTCATGAAAACTGGCCTGGTAGGAGCCTCTTCAAAATTACCTCTTCCCATTCATCATTCAAGGTTCTTCAGTCTCTGTGTGTGTGTGTGTGTACAGGTCAGAGGACATGACTTTCAGGAATCGGTTCTTTCTCCACTCTTGGGTCCCAGGGATCAAACTCAGGTGCCTTGGTAGCAAGCCCCTTGATCCACTGAGCCACCTCACTGGCCTCCTTGCTTTTATAACATTTCTCTGAAACCTATGAGACGGCATATTCTACCTTTCTTAGAAAAGACATGAGTTTAGAGATATTAAGAAAGTTACACATAAGTGGTCATTCCTGTAATCCTAGCATTTGGGAATTTAGGCAAAAGGATAAGGATTTTTTTTCTTTTTTCTGAGACATGATACAGTCCTATCTGGCATAGAACTAGGCTGATCTTGAACTCACAGAGATCTGTTTGCCTCTGCCTCCCAAGTGCTGGGTTTTTAAAGGTGCTCACCACCAAACCCAGCTAGAACTGATAATTAAAGGTCATCCTCAACTACATAACAAGTTTGAGGCCATCCTGGGATACATGAGACCCTGTTTCAAATAACAAACAAACAAAAATAGCAACAAGATGCTGGGCATGGTGGTGCACACCTTTAATCTCAGCACTTGGGAGGCAGTGGAAGGCAGATCTCTTGAGTTCAAGACCAGCCTGGTCTACAAAGCAAGTTCCGGGACAGCCAGGGCTATAGAAACGCTCTCTAACAGAACCAGAGAAAATTGATGGAGCAGGATTCCAGCTGAGCTGTGACTCCCAACCACTGTGTTTCCTTTCTCCTACCAGCTGCTAGACCTGGTCCCACTGACATTCAGGAACGCCTCCCTGGGCCCAGTTTTTTACAGACCAGCAAAACCGACGGTCCACAACTACACACAAACCCTTTACTAACATCACTAAGGAACCTCATGGTTAGTCCGGGCAACTCTGTGAGGCGCTGTTTTGCAGTAATTAAAAAACGGGTATCGCCCAGTGGGGGAGTGCTTGTCTAGCATGTGTACAGCCCTAGGTTCAGTCTTCAGTACCCTATCAAAAACAAAAAGTCTTGGCCACTAAGGAGTTTCCAAATTTGAGTTTTATAGCTCGCACATAAGTAAATAACCTCATTCTTGGATTAAATATGGAACTTAGATGACCAGCTTCAATTTCATTCCACCCTGCCAATCATGCCAAGGCCTCCGTCCAAGTCCCAGAGCCCTGGGCCAATTCTAGCTTCTTTTTAGCAGTTAACCTTTGGCCTTTCAGCATTGCCCTGAAAAGAGGCCTTGAACTTTTACTGGCGAATCCATGCAAGATAAACTCATTTGGGGAGGAGGGAAGCAATCTGTGCAAGACAAGAATTAGTAGGAATGTTTTATGACAGAACTATCTGTACGCCGCAGACGAGGCCTCATCAAAGACTGGCAGGTCATCTCAGGAGGGTGTGCTTTCCTGTCTTACCCTTCTGATTTCAGTTTCTCAAATGCTGTGGGAGTTAGCAATAGGGCCCATCACAGGCTCTCCCGGGACAAATCCTGGCTAGGTACACTCTCCAAGCTGCCTCCTTGTGATTGCAATTTTCCTGAGAAATGATCATTCAGAGGAGGTGGGGGGAGCAGTAGAGGGGCAGTACTCTACTTCCACCAGGACCCCTGGCCGAAGGGCCAGAGCCAAATCGCCTTGTTTCTTAGGTTAGTCAGCTGCAAGCTCCGCCCTCAAGACCTATCAGTCAAAGGGAAGTCACGCCTTCTGTCCGGAAACACTATTGCCCCGATGCCGCACCTGTCACTCAAACGTTAGGCTCGGCCCCGCTCACTTCCGTTTTCCCTGGCAACGGGCTGGCTTTAGCGCCCCAGGCCACTTCCCTGTCAGAGCCGTGATCCGGCTTCCTCCCTTGCTCTTGATCCTGGAACGCTCAATCCGCCAAATCCCCTTCTTCCTCTCTAGTTTCGAAACCCTGAAGCCACACTGAGCCCGCCCTTTGACTTCCTGCCCGGAAATCCCGAGGTTTTCGAGGAATCACGCGAGGTCTCTCCGCGTCCCAAATCCTGGTCTTCCGCTGCCTGGGGTGGCTGTCGGCTCTTGATCTCCGTGGCCGCCTCCCCCGACCCTCTAAACCATCAGTCCAGGGACCGTTTCCCCAGGAAGAGTGGCAATTGACCCCGCAGAGAACAGGATAGCCGCCTTCCCGCCTACAGGATCCTTCGGTACCAGACAGGTATCCAGACACCTAGCTGCATCCCCTCTGTTAATCTCGCAACAACGTGCGACCTTCAGGCCTCATAGGTAGCCAAGGCTGACCTTGAGTTCCTGATCTTCCTGCCTCTACCTTCCAAATGCTGGAATTATAGGCATGTGACACCACGCAAACGAAATCCAGGGTATTTTGTGGATAAGTGAATGTGTAATCCAAAAGCATTCTTAAACCTTACCTGCATGTTGATTCTTAGGTATGGCCACGAACACCGTGGTTCTCAGTCTAGTTTACATCTCAGCAAAGCCTAAAACGATACACTCACAAGAGAAACCATGGGCCCCAGCCCCGGTGATTTCAGGATGGGGCAGCACCTCTTCAGCAAGCATGTCAGAATCTTGGGGGACAATGTTCTTTGAAAAGTCCTCTGGACAACATAAAGCTCATGCCTAGATAAGACAGCCAGTAAAAGGATGGATTCAGCGCTCCTTATGTTTGTCTAGAATCTGAGTGCAGGATAAGGTGGGGGTGCGCGTCATATAGGTAATCAAAGCCACAAGTGGTTCATCTGCTTCACTGCACAAGGCCATGCCTGTCTCTGTCAGTTCCCTCGGACTAACTACTGTCTTTCTCCCGCTGATTTTCTGGGGTTGGGCTCCAAGGCGCTTTCACTTGGAGCATCATGCTTGAAAGGAGACACTTTTACATTATTGTCCAGTTCCTAGAGTGGCCCCAGAGGAGGGCTGTGTGAATTTTGGTTTGGTAAGGGCTTGTTTTCATGGCTTGCTTTCCAGTGCACCAAGGTTCACTCAAACTGGAACTTGCTGTTGTGTAATTGTGGTATAAGAGAAATCCAATATTCCTGGAAACATTGCTTTCTGACTTATCCAAATCTGCTCTGTCCTGCCACACATGCATATACCTGCTACTGATTCTCTCCCTGGGATTCTGTTCACCCCTTTTATAAGCTTGTTTTTCTAAAAATGTTTTATTTTTATTAGTTGAAGATTTCGTTCAATGTGTTTTCATCCTATTCATTCCCTTCCCTACCCACCCTATTTAGTGTATCCATCATGTCCAGTTTGTGCCACCAATATATTCTTGGCTGGAGCATGTTTGACTTACCGACGTTAAAACTTAACTGACTCCCCATCTCCTAGCAGCCATATTTGCCAATATCGTCTTGGCTCGGGACAGGACTTTTTGCTCCTCTCTCTCTCCCCGTTGGGATTTGGTATTACTTGAGCTTGCACAGGACTTGCTGTCACAACTGTTGGGGTGTTTTGTTTTGTTTTGTTTTTGAGATAGAGTTTCTCTGTGTAGCCCTGGCTGTCCTGAAACTTGCTCTGTAGACCAGGCTGGCCTGGAACTCAGTGATCTGCCTGCTTCTGCCTCCCGAGTGCTGGGATTTACCATTGCTCTACCCTTCTTAAGTTTTTTTTTTTTTCTTCGAGACAGGGTTTCTCTGCGTAGCTTTGCGCCTTTCCTGGAGCTCACTTGGTAGCCCAGGCTGGCATCGAACTCACAGAGATCC